GTGTGTGTGTGTGTGTGTGTGTGTGTCAGGTCAGGGCGGGCTCATTAGATTGTGTGGTGTAACAGTTTGTGTAAGCAGCACAGCTGGTGCTTCTGTCCCTCGAGGAAGTAGGTGAAAGTTCCCCAGTGCAAAAGAGCAGCAGCTGATCATGCTCACTTCACATGCTCCTTTACATATTCCGCTGGTGTAGGGCAGTGATCGATGGGCTGCGTAACACTGAATGGATGCTGCTGAGATGCTGAGACATGACCTGTCTACATAATGCATGGATAATCGCAGCTATGTGATGTATTGGACATTTACCAAATCTAATGAAGGAACGCTGCATTGTCTAGTCCTGCACCCAGAACTTGTGTTTTTGTTCTCATACCAGATTTCTAACATGGAAGTTGAGGCGCTCCACTCAGACATCCAGAGTGACCCCCAGTCTGCTCCTATGGGTGCAGGTGACATGGAGGCTGTGGAGGCTCTGATGGCCATGACTAATCACTGGAAAATCAGGAGCTTAGGTCTCAGACACTTCAGACCCCTGACTCCATCGTCGGACTGCTCAGAGGATGACTCTGCCCCTCCAGAGTCCACTGTCACACAGGAATCCCCTATGGTAAGTATTGTGGCACACATGGGCTCAGAGTTTAGTTTTCGCATGCCTGCGTCTCGACTATAGCTTTAGGCACAAGAGTATTTTGCATGGTTGTCTATGCTATATTACTATCTATGGAGGTAATGTGATACGATGTTTTTTTTGAATGTATTTTGCAATAAATATAAGGGAATTCTGGTATTTTTCAATCATATGTATCAGTCCTGTAGATTGCCTCTGCCGGCAGCCGTGACATGGTGGCAGTGGCTACAATGCAGTCTTATGGTGCAACAACAGTCTGTGAAATTAATCCACTTACTTGGGTTGTTGCAGAAAGACGGAGGTGGAACTATAATTTGAGAGAGTTAGAGAGAAGAGTTTGGAGAGGAACTATTTTGGCTGAATCTTTTTCTCATGTGGACAATGTCAATGCCGGAGTTTACAGACTAAGAGCTCTGACAAATTGAGGAGCGAAGGAGGAGAGCAACAAGCAGAAGACAGACGAGCTGCTGCATGGTTGTGAGTGAGACTTCTTGAGCGAGACATGTGTTACGTAGCTAGACTCTTAGCAAAGACTCAGAATAACAATGTTAGCCTTTTATAAGTGAAAAAACCTTTTACTTATAATTTTGTGGACTGTTGCAGTTGCCCCTTAAGATTACACTGTAACCATTGATGTTGTGTTGCGGCTGCTGGACTAATTCCAAAGTTTTTGTTAGAACCCTTCATTAACACACTTACATTTTCAAAATGATTCCCTTTTAAGTTCTCTTAAAAAAATGAATAACCTTCCTTTCCTTTCAGTGTATGACACCTCCATACAGCCCACCCCACTGTGAGGCCACACATCTACCCTCAGCTGCTACCTTACATCAACCGGCAGTATCTGAACGTCTCACTTGGCCGCCAGCAGATGACGCTAATCTGGTTGCACATACTGCTGCTCCTCAGCAGAGTTTCCAATGCACCAGTGTGATCCGTCACACTGCTGATGGCGAGCACTGCCGCCGCAGCGTCCATCCTGACGGACTCACTGGAGTTCATACTAAGGACTCCAAAAGACATTTGAACTTTGAAGATGGGCTGAACACCAGAGACTCAGAGAAGCTGATTGTAATGCAGACTGACTCACCCCAGAAGCCTTTAACTGTGACTTACCCGGAAGTGGGGAAGGAAAACCAGACTCAGAGGAGCCTTTTAGGCCCAGATGATAAATCAAACATACCTCAGTGTGTCTCTCCTGGTGTAAATGGAGCCTCTCCTGTACCTGTCTACTGTCAAATTCTTCCTGTCTCTTCTCTGTCTGCCACTGTTGTGCAAAAGCCTGTCACAGTTTTGGAGAGTCAACACCAACTACTGACACAACAACACACACTACAGAAGCCAAAAACCCACACTGCTTCTTCTGCCCGGGCCTTTATTCTTGGGGGTCAGGTTGCACAAGGCCCGCTAATGCTCCTTGTCCCTCAGCTGGCAGTTTCTGCTCTGTACGTTCAGCCAGCGCTGGTGACACCTGGTGGCAACAAGTTACCAGCCATCGCGCCCGCACCTCGTCCTGCATTGCTGCAGCAAAGACAAAGCCCGCTGCAGCCAGAGTTGTCCCGTGTACGAAGTCATGCATGTCCCCTAGAGGACTGCAGCAAGACCTACTTCAAGAGCTCCCACCTCAAGGCCCACATGAGGACACACACAGGTAAGTGACAAGAGATGTGAATAGTAATTTTACTGTGTTTCAATCATGTAACCGAGTCACATGCCAGCATCTGGTGCAGATAACAATTAAAAGAAAGTAGTTAAAAACATTCTTTTATTAGTCATGAAAAGAGATGAGACATATGTTCCTCCGTGACGATGCAGTTTCCACTTCACTATCTGTGTTGCATCAGGTGAGAAGCCCTTCAAATGCAAATGGCAGGGCTGTGAGAGGCGATTCGCTCGCTCTGATGAGCTGTCCCGCCACCGCCACGCCCACACGGGAGAGAAGAAGTTTGTCTGCCCCATGTGCCTCAACCGCTTCATGCGGAGTGACCACCTGACCAAGCACGCCCGGAGACACCTAGCAGCGAAGAAGACGCCTTGCTGGAGGTTAGGGGTCACCCAGGCTGCTGACCTCGCTCCTTCTAATGAAGCCAACGAGTAAAGATGGTGAAACTGTTTGTCTGGATGTCAGATGTTTTCTTTTTTAGGCTGGGTCACTAAGCACAGAGGATTATGGGCCTGGTTTGTACATGTCTGAGCACTGCTAACTTAAAAGCAAATTAAATAGCAATTAAAGTCTTTAATGTTCCTAATAATTGTTGTTGAACATGAACAAGGTAAAATTTGACTGATAACATTTAACTTCCAACCACTGGGCTGCTTTTAACTGAGGAATTACACTGAAGGAATCAATGTAAATAGTTCTTAAAGCAATCTTTCTTTCTTTTTTTTCACTTTTTCTCCCAAACCAAATGTGTTGTATGTTTACCTCACAGTGATATTTGAATGTTGCATGAGAATTTCTTTGTTAAGATGCAATTTTGCACAAAGCTGTTTTTTGAGGGTGAAATTTAAGTCTTATTAAATGTGAATATATTCTCTATCATTGTTCAGTTGAGTCCAGAATTTAATACACCCCAGTTTAACCTGGCATTTAAGTCCGATCTTAATCATGATGTTATTTGGATGATGAAGGATTCATGTCCGTGCCAGGTATGAGCCATGGAATTAGAAATTATCCAGAGAAGATATTTCACATGCTATCACACAGAACAGACTTATAATAACTCATGTTTTTCAATAATTCTTAAATGGTTTTTGACCCTTTAGCCTGTCATCACATTATCCATGATGAGATATTGGATTATATTTTTTTGAGCTGTGATTGTACAACTGCATCTTGGTTTCACTAAGTTCAACATTTATGGTGTTTTTATGATAACATCCCACATTCAGAGTCATTCACAGTCCAGTCAGTGATGTGTTTATTATTGTTCAGGTTGACAAGCACAGCTACAAGTATGTGTATATATATATATATATATATATATATACAGGTAATAACAGGCAAATAAATGCCTGATCATTCATCATGCGTTACACACAGATTGGAAGACAACTTCAGATATGATGCAGAATTTGCAAGTACACTTGCAGCATCAGAACATGTCAGTACTTGAAATCTTTTTTTTTTTTAAACAAATCAAACAGAAATTGTAAAATAAGTTTTTAACAGTTTCAGTTTTGATTTCTTTAAAAAAACAAGGCCCCTTTCCATGTCAGCTGATTTGCTACTCGTCAACACTTGCTTTGTTCCATCTGCAACACGTGCTGTAGAAAAAAATCTGCTGCTGGTAAAGCCGTCACCTACTGGTCCTTCACTAGCACCTCAGCACACCAAAACACCAGTTTACTGATGAACACCGAGCCACTAGCTTTCCAACCAACACAAGGGCAGACTGAACGTTTCCAGGAGCGGGTGACTGCACATTGATAACACAGGCTTCCTCAAACAGGTGAATAAATGCACGTTCAGATGTGTAGCAACATAGAGCTGCAAGCCTTCAGTTTAAAACAGCGAGAAAGACACATTTTAAATGACTGGTATGAAGCTTTTATCAAACAAAATAAACTATACAACCAATTAAAATCATTCAAATACATCTTGAGGCTAAGCACCCTACAAGGTCTCAGAACTGTGTTTCTATTTAAATACACTGCTTCACTCTGGAATATATATATATCTTACTTTACAAGACTGGCAGCAGCAGCGGTGATACAAATAATACATTTGTCAATTATTATTCAAAATCATTTCATGTCTACTGTATGAGTGTAAACTGAACTGCCATGGGATACCAAAGCAAAGGGAAGAATGAATCTTTCTTTGTGGATGCTAATTATCACCTTGGGGTTTCCAGGTCTAATCACAAATTACACTGTACATTAGGCTTTGTAAGATCGATTCTATCTGGTCCCAGCAAGTTCAAGCACTATCTGCACTGTTAATTCACTTCATCCCAGTGGAATGTTGACGAGACGAAGCTAGCAGCAGAACCCAGTAAAGTTAAAGCCCTCCTGTCCTGATCATTGCTAAGCTGGGACAGAGAGTGCAGCCTCTGTTTGGCAGGTATTGAGGAAATAAGGGACCAATGAGAAGTTCTTCAGTGTAGCCTCCTGGGCAACACCAGTGTCCTGCATTTCAAACCTGGTGGAGCAAAAGGAAAACAAACCTGAGACCAAGGCACATGTATGGTCAGAAGACAAGGATCTCTCAAACTTAGCCATGCAGTTCAATCCTAAAAATACCACGTATCACCTGTCCTTACCAGTCTCTGGAGGAGATTACATAGTATACAGGGGGCGGGGGTGAGTCAGTGGCGGTGCAGAGTGGCTGGCCCAGACTGTAGGCCCCAGCATGGGTGAACATGAGCCAGTCTCCGATATTGAGCTCAGGTAACAAACAGTGCTCCACTACCTGATCCAGGTCATCCCCAGAGGGACCCCACAGGCTGCTGCTGAACACTGCTGCATCCAGGGAGGTGTTCTAATAGCACACAAAGAAGAGTTGTTTGTTTGTACATGTATATCAACAATCTGTGTCAGTAGACTGAAGTGTAAGATGTGGTGTTTCACACCTAATAAGATTATGGGAAACACAATCTCGAAGCCTCTGATGACAAATTAGCCTCTGGGGCCACAGCCAATATTTCGGTGCTTCTGGTGTAGAAAGTGGATAACCGGGCCAAGACTATGTTCTCTATTCCCCACACTATTTACAGTCCAACTAGTTTTTTAAGTCCAATGTTTCTCCACACAAAACACATACAGTGATACCTATTGTAGGTGTTTTAGGTCCAGGCGACATTTTGGCGAATCTCTATTTACAGAAACCTGTGTAAGCATTTTGGTCAATGTGTTTTACCCATTTTGCTCTCCACCTGAACTGTTTTAACTTTAGGCAACCAAAGCCAGCTCAAAGGTGATTGGTCAAATTAGAAACAGAACCAGAAGGCTTCCAGATTTTTCCCATTTCACTTTATAAAAGAAATGGATTTGTTAACATCTTGACCCAGATCATTTTTGTGACTCACCTTGTGAACAGATGGTGCAGCAATCCTTGTTTCAGAGAGTTTGCTGGCAAATGATCCATACACTCCCTCGTTCATGTAGTACTGGAACTCTGGCTCATCGTTTGGATAAAGATCATCTGTTGAGAACGATGTTGAACAAAATCTTTTATAGTGCAACGCATTTATTCTTTAACTTTTTTATATCTTGTTTTATATTACAGCTTGAGATTCACATAGTTGTCTTTGGCGCAGCTGTTGGGCTGACATTACAGAATGCATCAGTGAAAGTGACATCGACTGACCGTGTTTCTGGCGATCTCGTGCCACCACCTCCTTGGAGATGACGTTCACAGCCAAGGTGAAAGCAGAGGACACGAAGAAGCTGCCAGGCTCAGCAATGATGGAGACCCCAGTAGACAGAGGGAAGTATAGTTCCACCATAGACATGACTGCACTATTGATCTGCAAAGAAGATATCAGGTGGAAAAAGTAGGAACCAAAACGGTTAGGCCTCCAAACTTTACAATCAAGACATTATAATCAATCTCCTCGACAACCCCTGAAGAGTGGCTTCAATCAAACCCATCAAAGTAGAAGTAGCACTGACTTCAGTGTGTGCTATGGCTGTGCAGCAAAATCTAAACTATTTCACATGGTACATTTTTTTAATTGATAGATAGATAGATTGTATTTCATAAGATACTGTAAAAAACAATGCAATTCAAGTGCAGTACAAGTGACATTGTGGTTAAGCACTTAATCTAAGTATATGGCAAAAACCATGCCATTGCACATTTCTTTACCCGTGCGTTGTGTATGAAATTTACTGACCCGCTCCAGCTGAGTGTCAGAGCCGCTGAAGCCGCCTCCAATGTCCAGGATTTTCATGTTGAAGCCGATTTCCTCCTGAGGCAGACAGAAGCTTGTAAATGTGTAAACAAAATCACAGGTGATCATCAAAGCACTGAGTGTTTCTAGAGTGACCGCAAGTGTCCAAGGGTCGACACTGTGTGTTGGAAGGTGATGGTCAGTGAACTGAGCAATGTAACAAGCTACATAACAATGTTTGAAATTACTTACTCCCATATCAAAGACACAGCGGGCATCTGAGATGGCATGAATATACACCTGGTCATCTTCACAGGAGACGGAAATGTTGGACCTTTAGGGTGAAGGTTTCATGGTCAATTTGACACCTAGAAAACTGATCAATTTTATTTATGTAGGAGGCTGGTTGGTTAATTCGAGTGACTTTTGCATTTCTCTTTGTACACAATCTACACTTGCATTTCTTCAAACTGCTTTATAACCAGTCACAGCGCATTTGTAGAGCTCACCTGACCCCAACGACCTGTACACCCAGTTCCTTAGCTCTCTCCAGCAGATGTCTGCAGTCCTTAAGGGAACAGCCAAATGTCATGCTTATCTCATCGTCCGGGTTCGATGCCTCTGTGGCCACCTGCAGCAGCAGCCTGAAGCAACACACAGGAAACAAAGAACCATGGTACATCTTTATTTGATGAAAGCATTTTTGTTGCTCATATAATGAATAGTTAGAAATAACTGAGCCAATTATTTAAGGCAATTTTCATGTCATGTGATCACTGGGGCTGGGATTTAATACTAATACAGTCAAAGACCTACTTGGCATTGGGGTGGCAGCGTGAAATCTTGCGTAGCTCTGCTTCATTATCACACACCAGAAGGTCAATGCCGTTCTTAGCAGCATATTTAATCTGGGAGACCTGTTTGCAGAAACCACTGTAGATGATGTCTTCAGAGGGAATACCATGGCTCTGCACCAGCTCCAGTTCAGGCTGACATACAAAGAGACAAAGACACAATTGTATTTCAATATTATACAGTATGTGGGCTACGCAACAGACATTTTATCATATCATGTCCATCCTGCATGGTTTACCATAAACAAAATACATGAATAACAACTTTTAAAAGGTGAGCAGAGGTACACTGACCACTTGGTGGTGCCTACAGCTTGTGGACCACAGGTTGTGTAATACTTTTTTATATAAGTGTACTAGTAGTTGCTTGGAGGGGTGGTATAAAAGATCCACACTTAGTACCATGTGACTGGGTGAGAAGTTCTTTAAAACATGTCTGTAAGACTGTGCAGCCTAAACAGTGCTGTGATTATTTCATGTGAAGACACCTGATCTGACAACAGAGATCTAATATGTGTGTGAGAAAGTACCTTGTTGGTGCATATAAATCCAGTGCCAAGAGCAGCAAGAACTTCAATAACAGCTGGACTGCTGTTGCATCTGACATTGTAGTAGGGCCGAATTTGGGCCATGTGCGTTCGCCAGCGAACGTGCTGCCTCAGTACGACTCCCAGGTCTGCTACAAAAAATGCATTCCTCTCAGACTGAGGAAGACAGAAGTGGATGAGTCAGAAAAATATGTAAGTTTTGCCTACATGTAACATTACTACATACAGTTAACAAGGCAACACATTAACAGGCGTTTGAGAAAATTATAACAGTAAGAGGTCATGTGCTAAATGTGCATGTTGTTACACTGAGATTCCTTACCAGAGTTTGTTCATAAATGTGGTTGTCAATCACGTCGCAGAGTGCTGTGCCTGCCTCCAGCAGGCCAACAGAATACTGTGGTTCATCAGCAATACCTTTCATCCTCTCAACCGTTTTCCTCTAATCCGACAGGCATAAAGAATGTGGCTAATCTGAGTTGTCTTGCTCGCTCGCTCCTGAGCCCCTGGGGTCCTAGGCTTTTGCAACAAACTGCAAGAAAAGTCAGCATAGACATGATTTTCAAGAGGCAAAACAAATTACACACATTTGGACAATATATGTTTATTACTTGTTTTTTCCTACTCTCATTTATTCATTAGCTGGAAGATAAACTTCTCTGATGTGATCCATAAACAAGCCACTTCAGTGAGCATCCAATCAGAGCACAGAACAGGTTTCATGTTATGGGAAAGCTTTGTGGAAGAGGCCTATTCTTCTGAAAAGCCACTGTGAAAACACAGGGTCTGGGGCACAGGGTTCATTTACTTTACCATCAATTACTCCCAACAATCACCATTAATCCCTGAGCTGGTGACCCGTAAAGGTTCTTTTTGACGGCATTAAGCAAGGTACAATACTGTCTGTGACTCTGTCACAACTTTACTTTCAATAATGTTGCACAATATGTCAGAGATGTACAGTAGTGACTAGACCACATCTGAAATGACTGTGGCTTTGGGAGGTTAAATGGGGAGACTAAACAATGTGCCTGGAAAGAGTGCTGTGTTCTACACTATGACAAGGCTAATACAAACAGATGAATAGACAGTGGGCCAGGGGTAGAATTTCAGTGCCTACTTGATTTCACTGGGGGAAAAAAAATCTGGGGACTCAAGTGTGTTGGCGTTAATTAGTCCTCAGCTTGAACAGGAGTTAAAGAATGTTGGGAAATGGCTTGACCCTAACGTCTCTTTAAAAATCAACCAGGATTTTATATAACGTGAAAAATGGCTTGACCCTAACGTCTCTTTAATAATCAACCAGAATTTTATATAACATGAAAAAAGCTTAAATCTACATTTCACATATTAGCTATATTCTTGCTATAGTCTACTACTACTACTGCAGATAATAATCAGTCCACAGTGTCCTGTCCTTTTAGTAGAAGTGCTAGAAATAGATCTGAAATGTTAGATCTAATATTAAGGTTTGTGATTTATCTGGGGCAAGCTATTTCTCAATATACCCATCTGTTTCGTCTATCAAGAGTTTCTGTGAAGCAATAACGATGTTTATCCCTGCAAACAGAAACACACACACACAGCAAAATGATAAATAAACATGGTTTTGCTTGCATGTGTTTCTGCAATGAGAGAGTGCCAACAATGCGATCAAGAGTATGCATTCATTCCTCAGCTCTAATGTACTCACATGGATGAGTCCTGGGAACTCGTCCACCATCAGCTAGGATCCCAAGGTGGCTCGGCGTTGAAGTCAAATGGCTCCCGGTATAGAGCTGCCCCTAAATCCTCTGGATAGTTGTTGTACACCTGCAAAGGGGCAAATGAGGACAGGGCACATTGGAATCAGTCACTGACAGAGAAACAACAGTGACCAGGAGAGAGCGTCCGTTTCTCCGCTGACACAGGCTCCAATCTAACTTCACATTTAATGCTCGGCACAATCACATGCGTTGAGGAAATGTTGGGAGGCGATGGAGGAAGAACAAATGATAGGTTGCAGGATTTACTGGATGAGTGATAAATGTTTTCTGGTGAGACTGTTTTGAATATTTGAAATGTGGTACTCTGAACCGTGCTCCATGATAAAGTACATTGATTCAAGGCAATTATGATGGGTTCAAATGAATTGACATTGCTATGTTACGTGGCGATGGTAGGAAGAGTTTTCAGTCTGATTAACCAAACACTTCACATTCTGCTGCTAATTCACAACCGCATTGAACGCGTCAGACTCCCGTTTCCTTGCTAACTATTGTGACAGGTCGTTTACGTTCATTGATAAAGTTCAGATTAGCCTTAGCTAGCTACGTACAATGCAAATGCTGTACGGGAATCTCTGGTATTTCAACAATGGTGCCACTGAACACTACGTTATATAGTCTTACAATGTATTTCAACTTTCACAACATTGGCCGGTCCATTCAACAACATGCTAATTAGCAAGCTAACAACGCGGTTAGCTAACGTTACTTACGTCTGCTGAAAAGCCAACAGAGGGGACAGAGCGCTTTTTCTTTTTAGGCGGAATTTTTAAAGAGTGGTGGGTTCACAAGGAGAGAAAAGGAAAAGTGCCATGGACGAGGAGGATTAGCTCGAGTGATTGTTGTTCGATGTTGTGCAGGTGCGAGCGGCTGCGGACCATTTGTAACCGAGGGAGAGGACGTCAACAGCGGGGAGAGAGAGGCGCAGACAAGTTGCCCGCCGAAGCTAACACGAGCACATCCGGTTACAGCATCAGAATAAAATGAACGTTCACAAACATATCGCGACGTCTTTTGATTAATGAAGGACATCGATGAAGGAAAAACGTGTGTGAAATATCGTTTTCATCGAGGTTTTCTGGCAGGATTTCTTTCTCATAGTCAGTATAACTTAATCCTTCAAACTATAAGAAGTATTCAAGGTCTGATTCTACCTAAATATGGTTGAATGATCGATCGCAGATGGGCGGGGTTTAGAGCTGTCAAAAAATACACCTTCCAAAGAAATGACAGATAACATGTGGACTAATGTCATGCATAATAGTGACACAAATAAAAATGGACTCATTCTAAATAAATATAATTGTGTACTGTGTGAGTATATTTTATATTCTATATAAAAAAGCATCAATCTTCCTTTTTAAGATCCGATTCTAATACCTGAATTTGGAAAACTGCCTATACCAGTTTATTATTATTATTATTGTAGTAGTAGTGGTAGTAAATAAACCAAAAATATGATTATTATCATTATTTACAGTATTCTATCTGTTTTGTGAAAACTCAATGTCACATACAAATAGGTGTAGGAATGCAAATTGCTATGGCAGCTCTTTTAATGTTTTGAAAAACTTCAATCTAGTGCCAAGCATTGCACTATGGGCTTTAAATTCCATCAAGCCCATTACATATTCATAACATCAGACCATGGAATCTAGATCAGTACATGGATCGATGGCATCAGTCAGTGATATCAGATAAGTGACTGATACAGATATTGGAATGGATCGGTCACAATTACAATTCTATATTCTATTCTATGTTATTACAACATAATGTTTGAGACACAATGGAAGTTAATTATATCTTCACAAAAACAAAACATAACCACACACAATATATAATAACCTTTATAAACAATAAATAGGGCAGCTTAAAATTTCTTAAGATTACCTGTGTTATGTCTTCATTGTGTTCCCCATGGCTCAGTATTAAGGACAAAATGCTGTCCAATAAAGTGCACAGAATTTTCTCTCTTTCAGTAGCCAAAAATCAACAGTTGCAAAACAGAAGTCCCATGAGTAATGAGTTAGATGGATGCATGTATTTCTTCTTCAAGTTCAAGCTCAGACTGGATTTGTCCCGTCCCTTTGCCTTTGTTGTTGTGACTTTAACAAGTTGTGCCTGCCTCTGGAAGTGCAGGGTCTGGGGCAGTGTGTTTTTTTCCTAGGAGATACATTTGCATGTCTCCCTCCTCAACAGTGGAGGAGGAGGGTGCCAAGGAACGCTCAACTACTGTAACAGAGTGACAAGCACATACTGTACAGTCATTATCAATTCAAATGTGTTGAACGTGAATACACATAATAACAATTCATTTCAAAATGAGGTACATCTTGAGGTTTTCTAGGATTCAGTGAACATATTTATTAACGATCTTAAACTGAAACATTTGAATTGATAATGATTGCACAGTATGTGCCTGTTTCCATGGAGATTATACTGTATGTTAATCGAAAAGAGCAAAATCCTAAATCTGTATCATCCTGAGTAGCCCACAGCAAATAACAGTGCGTGTGTTTTTTTGCAAACAGTTGTGAATTCTCATAACTGTGACATCCTTCAGAGTGCTGGATTAGCTTTGAGTACTCCTCGGGGACAAAACATAAACAATAGCGGCAATTGTTTCTCCAATAAAACTATTGCTTAGAGTCCATTGTAAAGGCTGGAGAGGCAACGTCTTTGCCTTGCACTGCGACACAAAAGCTATTCCGTGTTTTGTGCCTGTTCTCTCCAACACGAAATGAGCCTATGTTAAATATAAGTCTAATCGCACATACCATCTAAAGTGGCTTCCAGTAACACACAATGTTTGATTCTCATTGTTCGGATCATAATAGCTGTCGCGGGCACTGAGTATGCGACAGCGGGACATGTGTACCACCCACTGTGAGGGAAAATACTCCAGTGGCTGCATTGTGCAGCAGGAATTCTTATTTGCAAACATTGCAAACAGATTACATCAACACACAGACTTGGAAAGACCTTGCGTAGGTTAACCCTAACAGACCAAAGGTCTCCAGTCACAGAGGAAAAAACAACATTGTCCCACAGTGGGGAAAGAAATTATGAAACACCTCCAGCAAATTGCTTATTTATATATATAAGTTAAAGTAAGAAATATATGTTATAAACAGTCAGTTACAATAAGGCACCTGCAAATCTAGTATCTCTCTGTACTTGAATAAGTGACTCTTTAAACCATGAAATTGGTCTTAAGCAACAAGACTCTTGTAAGTGTTGTTAAGTCACTCAGCAATGGATTCTGCTCTTTTTGCCAAAGAATGTTACTCAGTGAAAGGAACTTCGAACTAACTTTTCCTCACACTGATGTGAATGTTAAACAGGACAATACAAAGCAGCCACCTGCAGGAATATAAAAAAATATGCAAAGAGGAATCCTGTTGAAAGACCTGATCTGCTAGTGTGAGAAAATGATTTAACAAGAATGGGGGGGAACATTTAACAGAACCTTTCTCAACACAATCTTTGGTTAAACATTATAAAAAACTAAACATTTAGAATTGGGCATATCAACGTATTTTTAAACTTGAGGCATTTAGTTTATCCAGTTAAATTTTATTTTCTGTTTACATAAACCAGGTTGCATTCAATCAAAGTTGAAATAATTCAAAGCAATATTTTAAAAACACTTGAATACAAATGAATTCAGATTCCTCTTAATTTGTTTGTGTGGCTTTCGTGCATTAAAGCCTTGGACATAAATATTAATGAAACATAGTTTCACTCAACATTTTCATCATTGTTTGCAGTTTTTTAATTTTAATGTAGGGAGAAGTCCCCTCAGAGACACATGGATACAAACCAACATATCACTGTCCATCATAACACTTTATTTATATGTTAAAAAAAGGTTTGCTGCTTTTTAATGAATCAGAATATTGAGATTTTAAGTTGTCAGAACTCAGTTTCTGAAGCAAGAGACTAAAGTTTTAATAGTTGGCACAATTTATTTGTTTTTACTTTAAACATTGATAATCTGAGTTTCTAAAGCCTGAGAAATATTGGTTTTTATTTAGAACATAGTGTAATGCCACCTCAAAGGAACAATTTTTATCTCTGGGCTTTCCCTCGACATGTCTTATTCAACAATAGTATCAAGGTGGTGGAGAGACACAGTAAGATATACCATGATGGGCAAACAATAACACAGCCTAAAAAATTATGCACATTTCACCCTTGTTTCCTTTCTGCCAAGATAGACTGCAGAATAGTCTGTTCATAACTCTGTGTCAGAAGATATATGAGATAATGTGGTTTATTATAAATGAGGGCTGTCCTGTAAATCAAACTAAATACAGATAGTCAGTATTTCTTCTGATGATTTGTACAATATCTGACAAATAAATCATGCACACACAGGCACACACATACACATACACACGCACACACACATACGAGCTTGTGTGTGCTTGTGAGCATGCCTGCATATCTGGAAGCAGTGGGTCACTGTCACCAAATTTAGTAAAATGCAAATAGTTGAAAGATTACACAGGAGATGTACGGTGAGCCTTATTCAATGTTCACAAACATAACTCTGAGACAAATCACAGGTCATGTAATTAAGATGCTTAATGGCTGTTTGCAAGGACGCTGAGTCAAACATGTGTGCGTGACACAGAACAGAATTAAGCCTATAAATAGTTATTTCTCCATTCAATCATTTTTAATGTTAAAATAACATTCTCTCTCTTATTGAACCAGAAGAGATTACACTCAGCAGCAGCCTGTGCTCCGCAGACTGACTGATTGTGACGTGTGTGTGTGTGTGAGTGTGCGTGTGTGTGTCCTGATAACATCCCAGCAGACTGGCCTCTAGCCAGCTATGGGCAAACTCACCCTGCCGTTTGATGTCGAGGGTTGGCTCCAGGCAGACCAAGCATTGTGTCCCAAACAATGAACCCCAGGCCCATTGAACTATAAACATGTCCCTTTGGGGGTGTTTTCCTCAGATTCCATACAGGAGACACCCAATGTCAGGAAACTTGACCCGGCTTTTCCAAATTTAGCAACTCTGAAGTCTCAAATGCTGCTGACTTGGCATCCAAGTATGTGTCTGTTTCCCTCTCAAATAATGTAATAATGCCCTTGGAATGTTGAATAAAGGCCCAGGTCTGGGGTGGAGGTCTTGCAATTCAGGAATTTTGTTGAAATGCAATGTAATATAGTATATGTTATGCTTCTGTTGATCTTTTCCATCAATTTCTTCAGAACTCTGTCACCCTGGTGCTCTGTACAACATGACACCTATTACAGGCCTGTCTGTCCTGTTCCACTAATGGTTTCTTTCATTTTCCCCACGTGATTTGCCCGGTGAATATTTCTTTCTCTAGTGATCGAGGATGCTGTTCAGGTTGTGAGGCAGCTTCAGGTCATTTTTTTAGGATTTGTGATGTTAGGTTGCAGTTGCACGTGCAAAATGAGACTTGCACTCGGCTGTGCTCGCGCTGCAGTACTCCGTGTCCACCAGCTGTGGTCGCTGCTGCGTTTTGCACAGCGAGCAGAGGGAGTGAGAGGCCTTCCGGTTCCTCCGGCAGATCAGCTGACTCTGATGCTGCTGTCAGGAGACCTCAAGAAATGTGGTGCATGGCAACTATGAACATTGTCAAGCCGTAGAAACACACACACACACACACAGCGACGTTTTAACTGGCGACGGCCACATTTTAATACACAGGTGAGTGACGTCGTCGCGCAATCGTCAAACAACCGCATGTGCTGCTGTTGAGAGAAAAGCTAAGTGGCTAACATCCTGCTGGATGCTGCTTGACCTTAACCATCTGTTTTTGTGCCAGCTTCGTTTGACATACACTGTCGTTTAATCAGCGTTTAAGGCTTTAATACGTTCTGTAACTATTAGAAAGTAATTACGACTGGTTCAGAAACATTACACTCGTTTTCAAGGGATGTGAACCCCAAACATAGCATCATTTCACTAGCTTTCTTAA